TAACCCTGGATGAGGTCTGAAACACCCCATCCCGGACTCTAAGCCCGTGGAGATTGTTCCCGGTCATACCGCTATACGGCTCCGACCCCATCAGTCCATTTTAGGGTCTAGTCCTTTATTTAATCTATGTTCGATGTATGTATTCTTAGATTCACTAACTTCAAATCGATATGTAATATATAAGTAAGATAACAGATATTTTATTGATATAATAAAGGATTCAATACAACTTAAGAGTTTGCATATAAGCTATTATAAGTTCGCATGATCCTACTATCTGTTCTATCACACCACCCATCATCCTTGGCTAAACGGCCTGCGCGCCTATCCTTTTTCCTTTCCGTGTTCATCGCTTCCTATAAACCAACATCATAAGTACACGCTATTCTGGCTAAATATTATTCATGCACATGTATGCGTTTTATGCTCATGATTCCCGACCCTTTTTATTAACCCACAGTAATCTATTTTTCCGATACGGATCATGGGTCAGCCTTGGACCGGCCGAGTCTCGGTAAGATCGGCCCCGCCTATCAAACTGCTCGCCAGCCACGCCGACCGGATCCGAACAATACTACACAACCGAGCGCGCTCTATCGCCGGCCCAAATCTCAATTCCATGGCCGGCGACTTGTTGGGATTTCAGCCGGGTCACACAAACGGATCGGCCTAGCCCATACTTGGGCCGATCGTTTAATGCGCCCGGTGAAACACTTATCGGTTCGGCCGAGACTTACCATCTGATCGGCCTAGCCCATACTTTGGCCGATCATCAGATTCGCCCGGCGGACCGACAATTTAACCGCGCACGCTTACAACTATAACACGTACCTTTAGTCACTTGCGGTCGGATTACCTTCACCGCACTTATCACTTCCCTTCTTTCTCCGCGACCCGCACCAGCCGCTCCGGTCGGTTTCTCTTACCGCCAGACAGGTTACTTCTCTCCCCCGGTTTGCCTTAGTCTCACAGTTTGGTAGAAATTTGGGCAGAGTTTTTCTCCCTGTTTGTGCGTGTCTAAAAATGGGGACAAGGGGGTCTATCTATAGATTTCTCCTTGTTGTAACCGCCTTGGGCGAACTGGTGCATGTTGTTGGCCGAACGGGTGTGTTGATTGGGTGCATAGGCTTTTCAACCCTTCGGCCATAACCGCCCAAGTCCAGCCAGCTCACTTACCACTTAGCTCGAACTGTATTATACTCTTCCCAGCTGAGCTGAGCTTCCCGGCAGCTGATCCAGCTAGCTTAGCTTACCCCTTCCAGCTCGTCTTAGCTCAATTCAACTCGTTGAGCTATCTTTCTTTCTTTTTCTTGGCTAAGTCCCACGCTAACAAACTTAACCCATCCTTCTGGACCATGGCTCATGTTCTTCCTTAAACTCTCGGCCATTGTTTCCTGTTTCACGGCCATAGTCCGTCCCGGCGACTCTATTGCGAATCGGGGACGTTACAAGTCTCCCCCTCTTGAAAGGGATTCTTCCTCGAATCCGGGCTAAGGGGTAGAACCTTGTTCCATTCCTCGAACCACTCGGGATAATCAGCCTTCATCCGATACTCTGTTTCCCAAGTTTCTTCTTCCACACCGTTACTTTCCCAAACGACTTTAACCATCGGTATCATCTTTTTCCTTGTTGCTTTTTCCATTTTGTCAGTGATCCGGATGGTCTTGTTTCCACAGTCAGATTCCCTTTAAGGTCTGAAAGAATCTCGGCTAGGACTTTATCTTGATCCGTTAAGCACTTCCGTAGTTGAGATACATGGAAAACGTTGTGGAATGCCTCCATCTCCGGTGGTAAGTCTAACTTGTATGCGACTACCCCAACTTTTCCACAATCCGGAGTGGTCCTATGTACCTTGGATCACGCTTCCCCCTCTTGGAAGTTCGAGCCCTTCCTTTGAACGTGATCATCTTAAGATATACCAGATCGCCCACCGCGAACTCAAGGTCCTTTCGACGCTTGTCCGCATAGCTTTTCTGTCTGTCTTGGGCTTCCTTCATTTTTATCTTTAGGAACTTGATCCTTTCCGTGGTTTCCTACACAATAGCCGGTCTAATTGCACTCCGCTCCCCCACTTCAGTCCAACAAAGCGGTGTTCGGCACGGCCGCCCATATAAGGCTTCATACGGCGACATCCCAATGCTGGCTTGGAAACTGTTGTTGTAAGCGAATTCGGCTAAGGGTAAATATTTTTCCCATGAACCGCCCTAATCTAGAACGCAAGCCCGTAGCATGTTTTCCAGGATTTGTATGGTCCGTTCTGACTGACAGTCTGTCTGCGGATAGTAAGCCGTGCTCATGTTCACTCTTGTTCCTAAGGCATTTTGAAAAACCCTCCAGAAGAAAGATGTGAACCAAGAATCCCGGTCTGAAACTATGCTTGCCGGAACACCACGAAAACAGACTATTTCATCCAGATACCTGCCCACAATGTGTTCAACACCATCCCTCTTCTTAATTGCGATGAAGTGAGCAGACTTAGTTAATCGATCCACCACAACCCAGACCACATCACGTCCGGTCCTTGTTCGGGGAAAACCAGTCACGAAATCCATCGTTACATTGTCCCATTTCCACTCCGAAATGGGTAAACTCTGTAGCAACCCACTCGGGACTTGATGTTCCGCCTTTACCAGTTGACATGTAGGACATCTTGCCACCCACTCAGCCACGTCCCTTTTCATCCCGACCCAATGATAATACCATTTCAGATCCTGGTACATCTTGTTAAGTCCGGGATAAATCAAAAACTTAGACTGATGCACTTCTCTAAGGATTTCTTCCTTTAACTCTTTCACCTCTGGAACACATACCCGGCCGTTAATCACAATCGTGCCATTGTTTGAGGTTTGGTACTCCATCTTTCCATTCTGCACAGCCTTGCACAAGACCTCATCTTTTCCTTGTGCAATCCGAATCCGGGTAAGCAGGCCAGCTTGATCTGCCGCCCCTAAGTCAAACGGTTCCGGTTTGGTGGACAAGGCATTAAGGTGCAATGTCCCAATCATGTTTACTAGCATCTCCGCTTCTTTTCCCGCAGCCACTTTGGACTGTATTCTGCTCAGAGCATCCGCGACTAAGTTAGCTTTGCCAGGATGGTAAGCTATATCCAAGTTGTAATCTGCCACAAGTTCCATCCACCGCCTTTGCCTTAGGTTTAATTCAGGCTGCGTGAAGATGTACTTCAGACTCTTATGGTTGGTGTAGATTTGCACTTTAGCTCCATAGAGTTAAGATCGCCATATCTTAAGTGCAAAGACAACTGCCGCCATTTCCAAGTCATGGGTTGGATAATTTCTTTCGTGTTCCCGTAACTGCCTTGATGCATAGGCGATCACCTTGCCTTTTTGCATAAAGACACATCCCAGCCCGTTTATAGATGCATCCGTGTACACCACATACGGCTCGTCTGTTTCCGATAAAGCTAGAACCGGTGCGCTTGTTAATTTTTCCTTCAGCCCGGCGAAACTCTTTTCACATTCCTCCGTCCACGTGAATTTCATATCCTTCCCGGTCAGCCACATCAATGACTTGGCTAAACTCGAGAATCCATTCCCAAACTTCCTATAATATCCCGCCAAGCCGAGAAAACTCCTTATTTCCGAGGCGTTTTTGGGTCTTGGCCATTCTTCAATGGCTTTGATCTTCTCCGGATCCACCGATACACCTTGGTCCGAGACAATATGTCCTAGGAACCCAATACTCCTTTGCCAAAAGCTACACTTTCTCAATTTCGCATATAGCTTTTGGTCCCTTAGTCGCTGCAACACTGCCCTCAAATGACCTTGATGCGTTTCCCGGTCTTTTGAATAAACGAGAATGTCATCGATGAAAATGATAACAAACTCGTCCAGAAAATCATGGAAAATCCCGTTCATCATCTTCATGAAGACTGCTGGCGCGTTGGTCAATCCGAATGGCATAACCACAAATTCAAAGTGGCCATACCTAGTCCGGAAAGCCGTCTTGCGCACATCCGAAGGCACTATGGGAATCTGATGATATCCCGAAGCCAAATCCACCTTTGAGAACACGGTCGCCCCTTTCAACTGATCCAGCAACTCGTGTATTCGAGGCAACGGGTACTTGTTCTTAACAGTTACTCGGTTAAGCCCTCGGTAGTCGATGCACAGCCTAAAGCTTCCGTCTTTCTTCTTAACAAATAGAACCGGCGCTACCCATGGTGAACTACTTGGCCTGATATATCCCTTTTCCAATAGCTCTTCCAACTGTTTCTTAAGCTCGGCCATTTCTGCCGGAGCCATCCGGTAAGGCGCCTTCGAGAGTGGGGTCGGTCCCAGTTCAAGTTCTATCGTAAATGGATCCGACCGGTCAGGTGGTAAACCTGTTAAGGCCTGGAACACATCTGCGAATTCATTGACTACCGGAATTTCCTTGATCTCGGCACCTTTACCCAAATCAGCTGTGGTGATCATGGCCAAGTAAGCCTCACATTCTCCAGCATCCTTTCTGCTTGGATTGCCGAGACTATCAAACTTCCTGAAGTTGATCGAATTCCCTGGAACTCCAACCTTTCCGCATCCCGCTCAAACCGCACCCGCCCCCGGTAACAGTCTAGCGTTGTTTTATATTTCCCTAGCCAGTCCATACCCAATATCACTTCATGATGCTTGAGTCGGACTATGACTAGGTCCGCCAGTAGGTTTACCCCACCGACCATCACCGAGATGTCATGGACTGTTTCTTGCGAGAACATGACCTGACCACCTGCGGCAATGACTATTCCATAGTCTTTCTCAGGTTCTCTATGGAACCTGCCTTTTCCTATCATTTTCGGGCTCAGAAAACTATGTGTAGCCCCTGTATCAAATAAGACGTGTGTTGACACGCCGCCTATTTCTAGGGTCCCTACACATTTATCCTAAATGCTAAGTTCCTTATCCTTTTTACCCCGATGCAATGCCATGCTCGAAATTTAAATTATTGAATAGGCTAGGAAACTTACCAGTGATCTCACTGTAACTTCCAGCCTCTTCAATTTCCTAAACCCGGGGTGCCACAGCCTGTCTCTTAACTTGCTGTGTGTCCCCGCTACGGTTTCCCCTTTGTTCCATCCGTATTTCAGCTTGCAGCTTAGGACATTCTTTCTTGAAATGTCCGGCCTTCCCGCAATAGAAACAGGATCTTTCCTCATTTTTAACCCTGAGCTGCCCTTGCTCAATCCGTGGACAGCTTTGAACCGTGTGGTTCTTGCTTCCGCACTTGGCACATGCTCCATCCATTTTCCAGCATGTACCCCCGTGCTTCTTTCCGCAAGTCGCACATTCCCCTTGTTTAGCCGAGGCTTGACCGCCTTCACTGACCTGATCCCATTTCCGTTTCCTGTTATCCACGATCTTACTCACCAGGTTGGGACGTGTTGGGGCTCTTTCCTTATTTTCTTCCTCAATACTGGACTCAACAGCCGCACCCCGTTCCACTAATTCCGCAACCGATCTGAATGGGTTCGGAGATCTCCCCTTAAGCCAATCACCGGATCTGTGTATCCTCCTTCATCAATTCCCCTCCAACACACCATCGAAGACGGGTGAATTCCACCTTGTACTCTCGGACAGTCCGGTTTCCTTGTGTTAAATCCAAGAATTGCTGTTCAAGTCTATCCCAAGCTTCTGAGGGAAAGTACTTCTGGTTGAACTCCTCCTCAAACTCGGCAAAAGTGTCTATACCTCCCGAGCGCTTTTCCACTGAGACCCACCAGTTATGTGCATCCCCTTCAAGGAAATCGACCGCGATGTCCTTCTTGTAATCCTCCGGCACCTTGTGGATCGAAAGTTTCTGACCAGGCGGTTCCTCCATTCGTCCGCCTCTATCGGGTCAGAACTACCTCGGAATTGCCTAGTTCCAAGCCTAGCCACGTGATCCAACACGACCAAATAGTCCACTTTCCTTGCTGGCTTAGCCGGTGATGAATCGAGTTCCACCACCTCCGCAGCCATGTTTTCCTTCTCTTCTACAATCGGAATGGCCGTACGAATCCTTGTGGATTGCCCATCGGACATGTTTCCCACTGGTGCCGCAGTTTGACTCAGGACCGTCAATTGTGTCATAATGGCTTGGAGTGTTTGCCACATCTCCACAGGAGTATGTACTGCAGTCTGGTTTTCCGTTCCAGCCGCCGCACCTTCCTTATTTTCACCGCCTCACGACCATCCTGGTCACCCATCAGCCTTTTCCCGTTATCCACGACCTTGGTCTGTCCATGAACGACCAAATTCCCGTTGCCCTTCTCTCTTTCCCCAGCCTCAGGTCCGGTGGTGTTGTGAGCAGACGGATCCGCCACATTGACCTGACTTGTTTCGGCCGTCTCCTTATTCTTTTTACTTTTTCCCATCTTGTTGCTTTTACCCATCTGCAGAAATCATTTAGTTAGTGCATCCTAACTATTACCAAGATTCTTAGACAAGCCTAAGCAACAACCTAGCGCGAGACCCTTTTAGCCAATGAGTGGTGTACCCAAAATCCAACAAAACCGTCCTAGGAGCAAGCATGCTCTGATACCAACTTGAAACACCCCATCCCAGACTCTAAGCCCGTGGAGGTTGTTTCCGATCGGACCGCTATACGGCTCCGACCCCATCAGTCCATTTTAAGGTCTAGTCCTTTATTTAATCTATGTTCGATGTATGTATTCTAAGATTCACTAACTTAGAGTCGATATGTAATAAACAAGTAAGAGAACATATATTTTATTGATATAATAAAGGATTCAATATAACTTAAGAGTTTGCATATAAGCTATTATAAGTTCGCATGATCCTACTATCTTTTCTATCACACCACCCATCATCCTTGGCTAAACGGCCTGCGCGCCTATCCTTTTTCCTCTCCGCGTTCATCGCTTCCTGTAAACCAACATCATAAGTACACGCTATTTTGGCTAAGTATTATTCATGCACATGTATGCGTTTTATGCTCATGATTCCCGACCCTTTTTACTAACCCACGATAATATATTTTTCTGATACGGATCATGGGTCAGCCTTGGACCGGCCGAGTCTCGGTAAGGTCGGCCTCGCCTATCAAACTGCTCGCCAGCCACGCCGACCGGATCCGAACTATACTACAAATTGATCGGCGATGCGAGCAAAAGCGGGGTTGTTGTTTTTCGTTTTACTAAGCTTCAGGTTTTAAATTTATAACCCCTAAATGTCTGCAAGTGCACAAATGTGTGCTGTAGTACTTAGGGTATCGATCCACAGAGACTTAGTTGTTTCAGTACGAATTCACTGCAACGCTTAAATCAGATTAGAACTAAACAGGTTTTGGTTTTGGTTTTTGGTTGTCACTAAATCTAAACTAGAAAGAAAGTAAAAAATAAAGAGCAATTGAAAACGAAAGCAAATAAAAGTAAGTAAAATCGATTAAACAAAAGCGAATGAAGGCAAGTAAATAGCGATTTAAAAGCAAATAGAATTGAAGGTTGTAAGCAATGAAAGACAAACGTTGGGGCTCAAGGGGTTTCGCAGGGGTTCATGGTCTATGCTAGGTCGATTTTAAACAAGTGATAAAGGTAATCAACTACGTAAGTTCTAGAACTCGAGGCACGGAAGTATGAATAGTCTACTTTCGCAGCACAAAACAACTATCTCTCGCAACCCTAATCAGTAGGTTTCCACGAAGGGAGAAGATGCAATAGCAGAACAAGACTCATCAACATTCACAACTCAACTACAGGTAGGTTTCCACTCCTATAGAAGAATTGCTCGTTTCACCCTAGTTCAGACAATCAATGAAAGCTTTCGCAACATATCGTATCAGATCGGCTTCTAAGTGGCCAGCAAAGAATCACGCAGTAAGATTAAAGGCAAACGAAGAACATCTAGAAGATTATAAATCCTAAATCTATCGATTCATAAGCAAAGACACATGAAATTCCCTTTGAAAAATCCCTTTAAATCCAACTGGGTAACTACTCAAACATATTGTAACAAAGCATCATAAACGAAATTGAAAGTGCAGGAAACTAAAGAAAAGAAGGAAGAAAAACGAAGAACAGAGTTGCAGGTGGAGGCGCGATGATGCTCTCCAGCGGCGGCTCCTTCTTCGGGATCGACGACGGCGGCCTCCTCTCTAGGGTTCCACAAAATCTCTCTCTCTTTCTGTCTTATGTCGTCTCCTTCGATTCCCCTCTTTAGAATGACCTCAAGGGGGTATTTATTGCTTCTGGGGTGGTTCTGGACACTTAGGGCTTCAAAAATAACGAAAGGAATTGATCTGGGCTTTAATTAAGTCGTCGGGAAAGTGAACGACCAAAGTCCGCGGTCGCGGTGGCTCTACCCGCGGGAAAATGGGTGTTGGCCGCGGTCCCGGCACATGCTCTCTTCCGGAACTGCATTTTCTGTCATTCTTGCATCGGGAGTATTTGAAGATCTAACCGTTGGATTGTCTCCAAACCAAGTGCATTAGAAAGCGGGTTGGATCCTCTATGTTTTCTCAAATTCTGGGGGTGATCAGACGGTGAGAAGGTCTTCATCGCTTGTCATACTTCTGACGGTCTGCATTTATCCAAAATTGCTCATTTGTTCCAAATTGCATATCTTTTGCCCAAGTTTCCTGTAAAGTCTTTTGAAACTCTAAAACATTGAAAACACTTTAAAAACCTTTGAAAACAGAGTTAAAACACCTGCATAAGATACAATTATGATCCATAAAAATGGTCAAAATACGGTGTTATCAACTCCCCCAGACTTACCTTTTTGTTTGTCTTCAAACAAACTTAAGTCAGGAAAGAAATTTTTGAAAAATCGCAGGAACTAAACAATATCTCAGTGACCGTCCTTCTAAACCATAACGTATCGTGAAACATCTATTTGGATCTAGTCTAGAAAATTCTCACCAAAATACAAGCAAACTAGTCCGTTAATCCGTCATGCGAAAATCTATACACTTAGATCTAACATCCAGTCAACTAGCTCTCTACATTCATTAAGTATAGTAGTGAATTCTCATCAAAGACATTATTCAGGGTAGACGGCGTTTGGCATTAAGGTTATTTAAGTGGTGGAGCTTAGGTGTTTAGGGTTACTTGAAGAATATGGAGGATGCAAGATATTATGCAAAACCACAGGAGAGAGAAGGACCTGTTGATGACCGCAGATTTTCAGTCACTTCTCCTTTGCCAAATGTTGCTGCATAATCTTCCTCATTTGTTGTAAACAGTTGTTCCCCCAGACAGATATTTTCCGGGAATCATAAAGATAATCTCCAAAACTCCATATAATCAGATCAAGCTTGTCTCAAGTATAAAATTCGATCCTCCTAGACTCTCTAAGGTTTTAATTTCCTCTCCCTTCATATTTTTTCTTTTCTTTTTCGGATTTTTTTTTTTTTTTTTTAGAGAGGAAATAACCTTTTATAAAGAGAGAGTGTAAGGAACGAAATTGTACCAAGATTTTGAAGTTTTTCCAAGGCAAACTGAATTATCTCCTTTTGTTGAATAATTCCAATGAAATCGCAGGTCTCTGTCTTCAGTGACTGAAAACCGCGTTGATCCTCTTTCTCTCCGACGTTTTTGCACATATCTGCATATAGAACAATGAAAAACAAGAATGCATGTGGTTTGAAAGAGGTTAGGTTCGGTGGGGAACTAGCTAAAGATAAACTAGCCATTCAGGATCAACAAAGAGTGATAAAAGGATAAAGGAGTCCTGAATGTATGATTCGTTTCCTTGATTTAACGCTTTAATGAGCTAGTCAAAATTAAGTCCAGATAAAATGAGCTAGTATATCCTGTCAGAAAGAATCTCTATGAATAGAAGTCCTCTGGTGGGATTTCGTAATGCAAGTATTCTAACTACCGCCTAGTCTAGGCCTAAATCACAAAAAGAGCAAAAAACGAGGAAATAGCGTAGAAGCACACTGGTCTAAATTCATCATAGTAATGTTTATTGTGTTCCTGGTTTGAAAACTTTTTGAAAAACATTTTGAAAACAATTTTTGAAAAACATTTTGAAAAAAACTTTTTGAAAAATTTTATGTGTCCAAAACAAACTCAAAACAAATCAAATTTTAGTAACGAATGAGCATCCTCCCCCAGACTTATTTCACATTGTCGCAGTGTGATAAATCTTGGCAATAATGGTAAAGAAAATAGAAAAGTTGAAATGTTTAAGTGAACTTATCGTGCTAGAGAGTGCTGCTCGTCTTTTGTATTTGTTCTTCCTTATTGAAAATATGAAATTAAATGAAACAGAAACAAAGCAATGGAAATAGAAAATAAAGGTCAAAGGGAAATAGATTAAATACCAAGTGGGTTGCCTCCCACTAAGCGCTTGTTTCAAGTCATTAGCTTGACATTGTTGCTCGATTAGACTTAACCGGGGTCGTGACACTCCTTGGTCTCATCATTGGCCGATGATGGATCAATCAAAAACATCACTTCTCTTTCGTCTTCGGTTTCTTCAGCCAGATATGGCTTTACACGCTGTCCATTCACTGTAAATGAGTTTCCGGTTCTGTCCCACAGGACAATGGCTCCATATGGTTTGACTTCCTTTATCGTGAAGGGTCCTGACCATCTTGAACGTAATTTTCCTGGAAAAAGCTTAAGACGAGAATTGAAAAGAAGTACCTTATCGTTAGGAGCAAAAGTTCTATGAAAAATCTTCTTATCATGATATGCTTTAGTCTTCTCCTTGTAGATCTTCGAGTTTTCGTAAGCATTGTGTCGGATTTCTTCTAACTCGTGAAGTTGAAGTAGTCTTCTTTCTCCAGCTGTTTTCAGGTTCATGTTCATCTCCTTGATAGCCCATTGCGCCTTCTACTCGAGTTCTACTGGAAGGTGGCATGCCTTTCCG